GGCTGGGGCTAAACCACGACACCCGTGCAGGAAGGGTTCAGGTGGCAACGCACTCTGCGTGCTGCCCCGCTGCCTCCTGTCTCTGCTGTGCCCTAATGCGTGCTGTCCGTCACGCGTTGGGATGCAGTGAGATGGAGGGGTGCCTCCAGCTTCGCTGTGTTTCTGCACGGTTCTGTCATGTGGCGTTGGTTCCAAATCTCAGCTCCTGATGGTTTTGTGGGGTTTTTTAAAAGTATTATTCATCAGGTTTCAGGTCGCAAAGCGGTTAAACAGAGGAACAACCTGTGCCTGTCGCTGAGCAGCCCAGGCTGTGGGCAACTGCCCCTTTCATTGCAAGGGCTCATTAATGACAAAATCTAGTGCTGCTGAGTTAGATACAGGTAAGGTACTTAATTGCAGGACAATGTTCATATCTCATACAGAGCTGGAAGTCCAGCTTATCCATCTGCCACGGTCTCTGGTTCTCCCTGGATAACTTCAGTACAAAATTCTTCGGTTCACTGGGCATCTACAATGAACAAAGAAATTGGCAACCCATGCTACATTAAATTCTGCTTGGGATATTTACAGACTTTTGTATAAGCTGAAGTATTCCTGTATATAAAAACTGTGGTTTAGGAATATCCCTCCTACCTCTTCACCAGTTAGAATCGTACTGGTAGTTATTTACGTGTAAAGAGGAAAGGTGCTGAAAAGAGACTTCAGGCATAAGAGGCTGTTGGGAGCTCCAGCTTCACTTGTCTGGTCTAATTCTAGTTAGCTACGCAGCGTAGCTCTGCTGGGGATGCAAAGTCCCAAAGAAGCCTGGAGATAGCAGGAGGGTCACGAAGTAGGACTGGGCTGTGGTTGCTTGGAGGACATGAAAAAGCAGAGGTGCAAGACCAGGGAGCAGAGAGTCTGGTGTAGCAAGGATGGCAACCAAGCAAAGCCAGGCTTCTTCCCCACCCAGTGTACCACTTTGACTTTTTCAGAAGAGCTCCGACTCTTAAACAGCCTGAGAACAAATAACCATAACTCTGGCACTTCCATCACCCATGCTAGAAAGCTATACTATGCCATGGTGACTAGCCAGTACAGTGCAAAAATCTCTCTTGTAGGGCAGCTTTATTTAACTTTTGAAAAAATAAGGTCAGAAATTTAGGCCAATTAGTGTGAGCAAAGCTCAGCAGGTTCACATCTCCCTTATGCAGCTAGATCTCTAATTACTATCTGCATATTTTAAACACTTTATACAGTCCTTTGAAATACAGTTTTTCTCTAACTAGAATCTTGTATGCTGCTTCTCAAATTTTTTAGCATTTAAAGGCTGCATGTGTTTTCTGTCTTAACTTGCAATTCCTTCCCCACTTCATCTTCAATAAAATATTTGAGTAAATTTTCCCATGTACTTACAATTGCAGTTGGAGTTATGAGTTGTAAGTTCAGTAAGTTGCCAGGGTTAGGAAACTGTAATGAGCTCTCTGATTATATAGATTAAGTACCAAACTTTAGATATGTGTTTCATGGGTCTGCAGTTACGGTATTTGTAGATCTGCTTTGTCTAATGCATGTGTTTTATTCTTTGACAGCCAAGACATACACCTGTTATAATGAAGTACGACTTGCTGTTTTGGAGACACTACTGATTCTAATGCCTTAATTCATTTGGCTTGTTTCTGATGTGTCTATTTATTTTGTTTACACAGAGACTTTGCTTATGTGGCAAGAGACAAAGACACGAGAATTCTGAAATGTCATGTGTTTCGATGTGACACACCCGCGAAAGCCATCGCCACCAGCTTACACGAAATCTGCTCAAAGGCAAGTGGGATTTAAAGTCAGCTGCATTCGCCTGTTTAGAGGTCCCTGACCCTAATACATACAATCAGTGTTTAGTTTGTATCACTGGCAATGAGAAACAGTGTAGAGAATTTGTAAAGGAAAGGATGCAAATTGCTGGAAGTAATGCGGTGTGAGCATTTAGATTTGAGGAGGATGGTAGGTGCTTTTGATTTAACAAGTGCATATAGAGACTGAAGGTTTTCTTGAATAATAAAGAAGCTGAGGTTCAAAATGGAAAAAGAACACACAGCTTCAATTAATAATAAATGGTGATGTTAAACTCCATAAATAAAACAGCCCTTGTTTGAATGGTATTATTCAATGGTATTATCCTACAGGACAGACAGGAAAATAGTTGCTAATGTTACTCTGCCCATGTAAAAAAAAGTCAGGGAGAAGAGGGGGTTTAAGCTACTCTAGTTACAAATACTAAAGGATCTTAGTTCCTGCTTGCGGTAGTGTTGTCTGTAATGCTGGAGAGGACTGTTCTTTTCAGTCGTTTTACCTTACAGATTTGCTACCTTTCCCTGGTTATTAATTTTGGTTTTCTTGCATGATCAGTTCATGAGTGTCCTGTACAGTCATTTCATGCAGCGGTAGCAAGGCAGCACGTCCTTTACAGCAGGCAAATCTGATTGAAACACTTCACAGAGAGGCAGTTAAACCAATCTACTTGAAACTGGTTTTCATTCTTTTATTGAGCTGTGGTGGATTTGAGGCTGCGTCCGCCTTTTTAAAAATGTTATGCTGCTCATTTTGGTTTTCCTTAAAACGTGTCAGTTTGCACCACAGAAGAAGTGGGCTGTGGGGATGAATAACCGTATTGGTTATCCCTGTGTAACTTGTCCCTCCTCATGAGTCACAACTCTTCTAGAAAAGCTAGTTAGGAAACCTTCAGGTTTTAAAATTCTGCTGATTTACTCTATGCCTGTCATTTGCTTTTTACATTTTGTCTTCACGTTAGTGAATGGAATCAGCGATGTCAAATTCCTCTCTGTGGCCAGTTGTATAGTCTAAAAATTTTTCATTTTTGCAACAGTGCAGACATGGCTACTGAACTTGTGATGCTTCATGCAAACAACATAAGCATTTACGCAGTGTGCATTGCTGTAACCTTCTGGGCAGCAGTTTCGCCCGAGGCAGGGGCAGCAGGTAGCCCAGCACGGGTGCAAAGCCTGGCAGGTCTGTCCAGGCTTGGGTGCCTGCGGAAACGCGGGCGGCAGGACTCGGGGAGCTGCTCAGGTTGGCCGGGGAGCCGCAGGCTGCACGTGGTGAAGTTCAGCACCAGGGACTGGAGCAGTGGCTGACTGGAGAAGCCTACACCTGTTAGGTCCCTCCTCTTTCTCCTCCAATTCTCACGTCTCACAGACGTTTCCAGCAAGTCTAGTAGGGAAAAACATGCTGTTCAGGCCCTACCACAGCTGCTTTTATCCAATAAGGTCAACAGCAAGTAAGTGGCACGGTAGCTATACACAGGGGTATCGGAAAGGGAGTAGTGTTGTCACATACGTAACTATGACATGAAACTCCTGGCATTAATTTTGGGTAAGAGAGCAACTAAGCATTTAAAAGCATTGCTAATAGTAACACAGAATAAAACAGGATAGTGTTGTTAAGTAGAGCATGTTCTTTTGTAATTCAGCAATAGATGTAATCCTGATTCAGGGAAGCACTTGGCATGTGCTGACTGACACACTGCACCTCTTTGCTGAAGTCAGGGCTTCTTCCCAGGCTAGTGTGTACCGTTTTTCATCTGCAGGGGGGAATATTGTCATGTGTCCCTGTAACAGAAAATACCTTCAAAATATAAAACCTGGGAAAAAAAAAAACCCCGACAGAAGCATCTTCAGACCAAGTGTCATCTGCTGGAACACCAGTTGTCTTTGTAGCTTAATTACAATTAATGGTCATAGTGCAAAGAAACAGATTACAATGCTTCATATATGAGCTTTGGAAAACCTCTGTTAGCTTCCCTGGGTCCCTTCCCAGTGATGTATTTGTAGGGAATAATCATCCAAAGTGGTTATTTTGAAGTGTTTTTTTTTTTTCTCCTCTTTTGTTAATATTATACATTTTGGGGGAAGAACAGGTGGTATTTTGCAGAAGAAACATAAAAATGGGGGAACAAATTGTACACAGGAGAAGACACTCCAGAGAGAAACATGAATAATGAACACTCTGTGTGTTAAATATTTATATTTTTGCTATATTACTCCTCACTGCAATTTTGCTGTTGATAAAATGGCTAGAGGTTTTTTTTTCCTCCTCCATTTATTTTTCATCTAGGCTTGGACACCACTTAAGTTCTTTATGTAGTTAAGGAATGGTGAATAAACTGGCGGGAAATTAAAGTTGTTATTTAAAAAAAATAACCTGTTTAGTCATGTAGCTTCTGACTTCAGATTTCAGAAACTAGGGTTGTAATAGGAGTAAATTTGTATTTGTAGTTGCTACTGTACTATATTTTCAAAAAAAATGCTGTATTATCACTGTCTTCTTCAGATTATGGCTGAACGGAAGAATGCTAAAGCTATGGCTTGCAGCTCCTTGCAAGAGAGGACAAATGTCACCCTTGATGTTCCACTGCAAGGTACTGTGTGTTACAGCTAGTATCTGTGGGATGGTCCCATCTCAGATATGTTTTGTTCCTCATGCTGCTTTTGACCAAAATGGAGCATGTTGGGTGGAGAGGTCGGGAGTCTAATCCTGCCTTTTAATTACTGTATCTGACTGTAACCTGCTACTGTATTACATTAAACATTTTTGTTGGTTATGTTGTCAGTAAAGGAGTCCTGCTTAGTGATGTCAACTTGTGCATTTCCTCTTTTATTTTGAAATACAAATGTTGCAAACGCAGTCTTACTTATTTCTGGCTACCTGCATGTATTGTCCTTTTCAAATCAAAATGCCTCTTGACTCGAGGCTGCACAAATTGGCCAAATCTTCCTTAAAAACAGAATATATTCCTGTTAACCCCTTGGATTCAGAGGAGCTGTAGGAGGACTCCTCCTAGGTTTCAGCATCAATTTTAGTAACTTCCAGGGCAAGGGTGCAAGTGGGTTGTCATCCAACTTAAGGGTCTTTCGCACACTCTACTGCATGGGAGAAGAAAGTTGCCTTTGCCTGCCTTTATTAGTCATAGCTTAATAGTTGCTATTTTGAAAATATTCCAGGAGAACAAACATACTTTGTGTTAGCTCTATAGGAAATTATATGCTTCTAGATCCACCAGTTTATACTGAATATCTTACTCCTAATCCATACATCAACTTGTGTAATTGTCTGCTCAGACAGTAGTATTGATTACTTGTAGACTGTGTTTAACATACTAACAGAGATTCCAGATTTTACATAGTTATGCAGTGAAACTTAGGTCTGTATGTCTCAGAGACACATTCATCTATATTCTCTGGTTTTTGATATGCCAGCAATATAACATGACCTTATTCTTAGTGTAGACCAAGAATTAGGTGATGCAAAGTTATCCCCAATTCCTTTAGAAATTCTTGAACATTGTTCTTGTCAGAAGGAATAAAAATTGGGTTTAATCAATACGATACCTTCAGAGCACAATTACTGGGTAAACTGTTTTATGTCATTGATGAAATAAAAGTGGCTTTCCCTGCTGTGAGTGCTGATTAACAGAAATTGATTTTCGTTCCCATGCAGTAGATTTCCCAACACCAAAGACAGAACTGGTACAGAAGTTCCACGTGCAGTACCTGGGCATGCTACCTGTAGCTAAACCTGTGGGTATGTAACACTTAAATGACTTCTGAAGTACCTTGCATAAACCCTAAAGGCTGGGCTCTGGCTAGCCAAGTGTAAATGCGTGCTTTTTGAAGGGTAGCTACTCTTGGGCTTCAGTCATATGGGTCAGGCATGAAGACATCTAATGTTCAGGGCCTCATTTGAACAGATGCTTTGCAACCAGAGTATTTTGGGAGCTGTCAAGAAGGCAGAGTTTCTTTCTACTGCTGTCACTGAATATGAGCTCTGCTACTAATGAGAAAGGCCCTAGAGAACTGAAATGGTGCAGCAGCTAGACAAGATGCTATCCTGCTTTTTCTAAGCCAGGGGCACCTGCTTTGTTTTTGTAGGTGAAGAAAATCAACGTCACAACCCTTCCTTCCATCATCAAATTAATTTTAATAAGGAGTCCAAAACAATGTTTTCTGTACTACTGTGTGAAAATAAAAATTTTGTTTACTTACACTCATCTATTTATTTTTCATGATTGCATTTTCTTCTCTTTTAGGAATGGATACTCTGAACAGTGCCATTGAAAGTCTCATGGCTTCCTCTAACAAAGAAGACTGGATGCCAGTTACCATGAATGTTGCTGATGCTACTGTCACAGTCATCAATGAAAGAGTAAGGCAGACTGTCTTGTTTAAAATACATTTAACGTAATACGAGCGTTGAAAACCAGGAACACTAGTAGAAAGAGTTAATTTACGCTAGAATCCATTTGCTTATTTTGCATTTTATTTCTTTCCAGAATCTGCAGAGGCTCTTACTGCTTCTTTCAGCTTCAGCTTTATTTACCGTTCCAAGCATGTTCTCAGAAATAAATTACTATAAGTATCCGTTAGATACTTAAAACAAATTCAGTGTTACCCTTTCTAGGACTTTAGAGCCTAAAACATTGTAGGTTAAGCCCTCATTCTTGGTATGGAAGCCAAGAGTAATACTAAAATCTGTGTTTCACATCACTCTCCTTTTGTAGAGCATTTTCCATAGAGATTAATACAATGAAACTTTCAAAGAATGTGTTTTATATATGTCTGTTGATGAGGTACTAAACCAACATCTCTGTAACATACCAGTGATAGGGGACCATGTTTTGGTGTCGTGATAGCCACGTTGTTTTGTTTCTTCACAAAACAAGCAGCTTTGAAAATGCACAATACGCTCAGGGCTGATGCTCAAAGCCGTGGTCTTCTGGTGATAGCCTAGAAGGGGAGATCCAGCCCAGGCCTGAGCACGCTGGGTATATGCAGACAGATAAAAAGGAATTCCACAATAACTGCATCACTGTCCCCGCCATTGAATCAACTTAAAATGGAAAGTAAAGCTCCACAGAATATCCAGCAGTAATGATCAATCATTTGATTCATAACCAGAATGAAGAGGAAATCATGGTGGAGTGCCGTGTGCGGTTCCTCTCCTTCATGGGAGTAGGCAAGGACGTCCACACGTTCGCCTTCATCATGGATACAGGAAACCAGCATTTTGAGTGCCACGTGTTTTGGTGTGAACCGAACGCAGGCAATGTATCGGAAGCTGTTCAGGCTGCTTGCATGGTAAGTGATCTTCTTCAAAGGTACCTAATAGCACTTAGATTTTTCACTGCCTCCAGAAATAATTGTCTGTCCAAATTTGCAATTGCATTAATTCCAAGACAGAAAAAGAACAGATAAAAACAGGAATTGGGATTCTGACATATCTAACCAACTAAAACCCAAACATTTTTAAGTTTGAAATGTCAGTTTAGTGAACAATGCCCCTTTAATCATCTTCCATCCTAACCTCTGCAACATCTGTGTAAGTTAGAAATCTTTTCTTTCACTACACAAGTTACCTAATGTTGGAAAAACATTTTGCTCGGGGCTGTGTTACACGGTCCAGTGACAATGTAATGAAAGTAATCCTTGTTCAAGACTAGCTGAACCCAGAAAACTTACTTTTCAGTTTTCAAAGGGCTGTTCGTATGACTTAGCATCCGTTGTGTGCTAATGAACAGTTTCTGCCCAGAGACTGACAGACCAATGTCCCACTACCTTCAGCTGGGCCATCTGTCACGGCCAAAATGGAGGTTTGAGCGTATTTACTGAGAAAGTATAAAAAGTGTATTTAAAATGCTCTGTGACAGTACTGGATGCAGTAAGGACTGCCGAATGCTTCTGCTTTGTTGCAGTTACGGTATCAGAAGTGCTTAGTAGCCAGACCTCCTTCACAGAAAGTTCGACCGCCCCCACCTCCTGCAGACTCAGTGACTAGAAGAGTTACAACTAACGTAAAAAGAGGAGTGTTGTCCCTCATTGACACTTTGAAACAGAAACGCCCGGTCACTGAGATGCCATAGCTGCGTAAGAGAGAAGATTCTCCTAACATTTAACTGAAGATAACAGTAGCTACACTAAGGAAAATGAACTGACGATGTCTGGCCTTCCATTTCAAATTGCTGATGATTGTCTTCAGAGAATTTACCCTTATCGAAACAATGTTAGACAAGCATGTTCTCTCGTTCTTGCCACCATCATGTGATATGAAAAGAAGCATGAATAATTTTTTTGCTGTCAGTGAGTTACATCATGAGCAATGGAAGGTCTGTTTGACTGTAAATACATGAACATTACCTAAACTCACAGAAAAAAAGAATATGGCCACGTCCCTCCCGGTGAACTCATGCTAAAGTCCTTGGAGTGAACGATGCCCGAGTCGATAGTTTCACTGTCTTGAGCTGGATTTGTCACAAACCAATCTTAAGTCCTACAGCACTTTGCTCTGTTTTCAACACTGGAGTAGGTACCAAGTATTAGCTACCATTGAATTACTGTAGATTAAATACCAGGTTTTATTTTTTACAGAACTACACCTGTTAGTTTTAAATTGTTTGTCAGCATTGGTCTAGCAACCACTTTAACGTCTCCCTGACATGCTTTTGAATCACGGTGTCATTATTTCATCTCCTGGGTATACATTATGGTCTTAGAGAAGAATCATGTTTAATACCAAACCAATGCTGAAAAATGCCGAAGTGTTTTCAATAATTGAGTTGCAAGGTGATCCAATGAAGCTTTTCAGCTTTAAACAAGCAAATGCAACTGTTGGCTGTTAAATTTATTCTCCTAAATCTCTCACTAATTCATCAGAAATACCGTTTGTTTCATGCAGGGCTCAAACCAATCAGGAGTAAGAAAGAACTAGTCAGTAATTTTATTGTCTTACAGCTCTTACAGAGACTAAAATATTCCGTACCTTTTCCATACAAGCGTTTGATGAAATGTTCAGTTCAGCATCTGCTTGCACAATTCCCCCTTTCCCTCCAAGTTTGTTGCTGAATACTTAACGTGCCACAAAAAGAACCATCATGTTTCTTTTACTTACAGATTTCCATGAAATTTCTTTTTACTTGTAATGCTCTTGTGACAAAATAAGAAGAGAGTTGTTTTCTAACAGGACAGTGCTTCTTCAGGTGGTACAACTTGCTTTCAATGCTTTGGCTCCAAAGGCTTCATCTAATTGCTTTGATTTCCAAACTACCGCAGACCCTGACAAAGTCAGCCCAGTATTGCCCCTTACAATTGCACCTCGGGCTAATTTTCAAATGCAGTTATGTGTCTTGAGTCTCTCCCTCCGCCATCTTCTGTCTAGACCTGCAGATCAGTATAAATTTTGGAAATGGAACATTAAAGGTATTTTTAACTAGCGTTAAAAATGTTTTGCCTCCGTTTATAGATACGTTCCAAACTGTAACCGTCTCCCAAGTCTGCAACTCTGGCATACTGTAATTTTAAAAGAACCTTGGCAAGGCTGTTACTACAAGAACTCTTTTTTTTATTTTACTATGCAAGAGACTGTTGTAAACGAACTATTTTCTTTTTATTTCTTTGTTGAAAGAAATTAACGGCAACACCTGGGCAAAGCAACTTAGGACCACAAGGGGAAAAGAATGATGATTCAAGAAATTTCTGCATGAAAAATGCAGAAAAATCATTAAACTAAACTCAGCGCAATGTATGGGCAAGTGTCAGGTGAAGGCTAGCTATGCAACTATTGCAATTAAATTTAGCTCTCCAGAATACCCGCTGCAGAGCTGATCCTCCACCGATCTCCAGTCTCTTTAGGACTGTGGTTCTGCGCCCCAGGCACCGAGGCCACCGGTTCCCCTCCCGAGGCTCGCGTTCCTCCCTTGCGCCAGCTCCATTGCTTGTACAGCTGGAGGAGAAGTTGCTTGTGCCGAGTAGGCAGGGAGCGCTGGAGGCGAGGGCCGCAAGCCAGCCCGCCCCTTTGGGCAGTGCCAATGGTTTCGGCTGACCGCGAAGCCAGAGCTCAAAGCAGGGAGGTGGCAGCTTGCACCCCTGCTTGTTCGGTGTCAAGCACTGAGCCCAGCTAGGAGCAGTGTAGAAACTCTTCACTTCCTATCATGACTGCTATCAAAATGTGGTGGCTAAGAACGCACCTTTAGGTAGGATCGTGAAGTTGAGAGAGAAAAGTCTCCTTATTTGTCATCATGCTAGGGATCCAAACTTAGACTTTATTTTAAATTACAGAAAATACTCTGACAGTGTCTTTTTAAAGGCCCAGCTGGAAACGCCAGGATTTGAGATTTGCAACTGTTCTACAACAGTGAATTTTGAACAGTATAATTAAATTTCGTAGTTGCATCTGCACAGCACTGATTCTCCCCAAGAGAGATCCAGACTGTCTTTAAACTAAAGCAACACTTAGCAAACAGCAGTGTAAAGGTTCTTCTACGTCAGCGTTGTCAAGGCCATGAACATCGAGTTAGCTTTCACTAGCAGAGTGTGCAATTGCAGGAAGGGCTGAGGAGAAGATAGCACGGTCTTTGAAAAGTCGTAGGTCGCTTGCCAATGTATGTTTTAAGAGTTTTGTGTCTGTTAACAAAATGTTGTTGATTTTGCAGAAATTTAAGTAGTGTGCTTAATGGCCTGACTATATGTGGCCTTTTTGCTTCAGCAGAGCGCCTCATTCTCCAAAAGATTAAATACACGCCCTGGTGTTTGCAGAATCGGAGCCTAATATTGCAAAGCCCTTTATCTTTTGTTAAACAATATATTAAGACACCCTTTTTACCATGGCCAAAAACGTATGTACAGGGTATGTGTGTCTGAGCAACTGCCACTGTTTTAGTCGATGTTATAGCAACTTCAGTTATCTATGCATTTTTTTAAAAAATACCTAGTCATTCTGTAGGCAGGCAGCCATGTTCACTATGCCTTGTATGTCTGATGCCATATTTTAAATTAACCTGTTAAATACAGCTTAAAATATTTTTATTTTATTTATTCTATTTTTACTGAAATATCCTGCATTATTATGTTGATGTATTGTCTTTACTGGACGTGCACTTGTAACATTCTCCACTCTGTATACTGTAGGTTGCCTAAAACCAGGCAGGCTTTGTAATTATTTGCAGTCACATTTTTATTGAAGTCTGTAGGAAAGCCATGTAAAGCAAAGCTAATTTCTTAATTTTTTTGCAATGCAAGTAGTAAGTTAGAGGTAAGTATCACACGTCAGTCATGTCATTGATATGCTCCCTTGCAGATTTATATTCACAGTCACCAACTAGAGAGAAAAGCCTTTCTTTTGAAATCTGCAGTGCTGGCTGTAGGTTTTATTTTATTCCATTTGAAGGGGAGCAAGGGGGTTTGGGAGATGTAAGGCTACAGGGGCCACCTACAGGGTGCTTAAAGAGGAAGAACAAAAATTGCATGGAAGGGCAGAGAATCCATTCACAGTAACACGAGCTCGTAGTCAGACACCTCGTCTGCAGCCACCTGCACCTACTGCAGCAACGCGCCCTTTCGTGACAGAGGAAGAAAAGCTGTGGAGCATCTAAGTGCTTATGCCGCTTCTGGGTCACTAAGAGTCCTATGTCCCTCTTCTTTTAATTTTATCAAGTGTTTCATAGAAGATTTAACTAGGGATCTAAAATTGTTAGTAAATCACCCATGGAAAAGAGAACTTTGTTATTTCAACAGCTAATATGGGCTCAGCCTTTCCGCATTACCATTAACCCCATTACTCCTTCCTTGGGCAGGTTAATTAATACATTGCTAAAACTTGTGCCGTACAGTCAGCAAAAGCAGGCTTGATTTATTTTAACAGCAGGAAGCAAGATGGAAGCACACCCACTGTTTATTAGCAGAGCTCAGTCTTACGTAAAGCACCTGATCGACACCGAAAAGGACAATTTTCCCTGCTGTTGACCACTTCTCCACATTTAAATGTAATCTGTTCTGAGAATAAATTTAGCTGCATAAAATGATTGTCTCAACTGTTACTGATCCATGAAACTGGGAAATTTTTTCTTTTGTTCCAAATTGTGGTTGAGGGGAGGGAAAAACATACTGGTGGTTTAGAGGCAATAGCAGTACAATGGACACTTTTGCATCTGGAAAACTGAAGCTACAGTTTCTAGCAGAAAATTAAAAATCAGTAACTGGATTAAAGAAAATCAGTTACATAAGATACAGCTTTACTGTAAAAAGTCATCAAGTGTTTAACTGGGCATACCAGCCACTACCTACAAGCTGTCTGAAGTCAGCCCCAGATGTTGCCACCATGTGATGTTTGGTGCATACAAAGTAAGCTGGCAACCTGCAGAATCAAAATCTTCGCTACCAGCTCTTCAGTATTCTTGGTGTGACATCAAGATTCTAACTGGTGTAGCCTCCATAATATTTCAAAGACTCAAACTCCTGAAAGCAAGCTGAGGCCGACTGTGGGACATCATGATGTGTATTACGTAAGTAAGTAGCCCAGAAATTCTGTCATCAGACAAATGTATGTTCATTTAGATGTAATTTTAATTACATTTAATAAATGAGTGATACAGATTTTGATTAAAAAAATAAGTTTAGTTCTCTAACTGCAGAATCTCTAAGTGTATTTTAAGCATTTAACAACCGTATTGAAAAAAACCCAAATCTCCTTACTGTCCATTCCTTTTATCTAACATGTAGAATCTCTCCTCTTCCACGATTTTTTTCTTCCCCCCGCCCCCAGTTCTACAGATTGCATGCACACAGGTCTAGATCTAGCCGTACAAGTTTGTTCAGAAACAAGGGCAGAGTTCATCCTTGTATTGGGATGGGTACGAAGCACGGGTTACTCGCAGGGATATACAGCAGGTGAGTGATGCCTCTGAATAGGACAGCTGGCTCCGATTAAAATGCTAAAAGAAATTTTCACTGATTCAGTAAAGCAACACTATTTATCTGATGAACAAGAGCCCACTGTCTACACTGCAGGTGTATCGTTCACGTCCTTTCTTCTAAGGGTAGTGCCGATCCAGCTACATTGACTGGTGCGGGTGAGGAAAAAAAGAGATGTTAAAACATTTTCTCTGGATGGGTTTAAATCCAGACTCGGGTACAGGTCAGATAGGTTAAGATTCCGTACCATATTGTCAGCACTCTTACCAAATAGCTTAACTGTTTGCCTAGAGGAAAACTTTTCTTCAGGGCCACAGGTACCTTTGCCCTTCTATATTGCTATGCTGTCTTTGTTTCGTTTCTACAACAGCATAACGTACATAAAAACAATTCTTGAGGTTCCTCTTACAGTCATTCTGTCAGTTTGCCATTGTCCTTCTTTATACTGTCCATATTTAATACTAAATCCGATTCTTGTTAAAAGAATCTCTGTGTCCCTTTTATCCTCTGCTTAGGTTGTAAGACAATTTGTAGATATTTTACAGCTATTTTATATTCACTAGCAAGAGGGGACAGGTTAGAAGCCCACAGCTGTTTCCAAAGAAAGACAAACTACTATGTGTTCAGTCATTATTCAGCTGACTAGCAGGAACGGCTATAAAAACAACTTACTTTGACAGTAGCAGCTCTTTTCAACTAAGAACTGCTTGGGTTAAAAAAGTTGGTGAAAAGCAGTTATGAGCCGTGACATAGTCTGACATGACATCATGGTGACAATTCAGTATTTTTTAGCATGAAAATATTTGATCTTGTTTTCATT